TAACCTGCATTTAACTAAAAAGATTTGTTATACCGACTACTGGAAAGAGTCCACTGATAACAGAACCTAGCATCTGCGTTTTGCCTTTTACTGCCACCGAAATGTTCCAGGAAGTCATCATAGAAGATTCCATACGTAGATAAAACAGGAAGTTGTGCATGAATGATGCGAAAGTTACCATCCATCCCCATCCGCTATCTGGAACTGTGAATGAACTTTTCAGAACTTTAGAGTCACCATTCTGAACAGAGTATACCCTATTTTCTGAGCTGTCATTCGGAATAGTAGCTCTTTCATTCAAAACGTCGTTTGCCTTCTCTGTAGCGTGACAGGATGCCTTTTAAGGTTATAAGATTATATATGACTCAAAGAGTTAGGTTAATATTATCCTGGTTTTGTTTTCTTTTACAGATATCGTCTGACAATTTCATTATGAGGTCTAAAATCGTTGAAAGAAATGATTACCGTAGATGCGATTCCCAATATTAATATATTTTATAAAGACATATTCAATTAAAACTTAGTTTGCTTTCTGACCAATAATACAGAAATATATGACGGAAAGTAAGCAATTTCAAATAAGAACACTTTCTTGGATTCAAAAAAACTTATTGCGACATTCTTATTCAACTTTCTGATAATAATCCATCCTTATGAAATAGGAATATAATCTGTTCAAATCAGAATAATTAATTACACATATTTATAAATTTAGCGTCTTTTGTTTCATATCTGTTATATCTATCAAAAACTTAATCCGGAAATTAAAACAATGACACAGTGCAAGAAACTTTCTTTTACGTAACTTTTGCAATTAGCGTTGTAGGTTTGGAGAAAAAGGTTAAAAATATAACAACTAAAATAAGTATGTATACACAACATGTTTATATTGTGTATAGTAATGACATATAAGTTGATATGATGAAGGCAATGAAAAGGGACTCTTTTTCACTCTGTCTTAACACTTAAAATACAGATATGAACAGCCGAATCATTTAAAAACCTTTTTGTTTTACTTCTTTTATTTGGCAAGGTTTTCACATTTCTGAAAAAATTGGTTAAATGCTATTTGCTTGACCTTCGGACATGTCGGACATGTCGTTATTAGTACATATACGTACCGAAGAGCCTTTAAGCTACTCGAAACGTGAAGTCTACATTGAAGAGTAAGGTAAACTTCAGTTCAGCACAGGGTTGCCTGGGAACGTGCATGACTTCAGTTTTTATACTGTTCCTACTTTTTCTGTATACAATTTTTCGGTGATCAAAGAAAGGACTTTTCTTAGCCTCAGTCTGAGTCTTGTAAGGAACAACACGGAACGTTGTCGAGCAGACTCGACATAGATACCTCAAGAGGCCTTTTAGAGATTGCCTTCTGGGGCGGAGTTTGTGGGGACACTGATGAAGCACTCGCTTTTACTCATTGTCTGTTAGTTTCTGAGTCGAATTTTTGGGACCATTATGGTTAAGAGAGAGCCGGGATGCCGGAATATGATACTGCTGATAAAGGATTTCAGGAAATTTCACATAGAAAAGGCCAGCTCTATTGCATGTTCAGCCAGATACTGTAATATTCATAAAAGATTGGACCTCTCTCTCGCCAACCAGAACTTTGGTATTCATAAAATGGCATTATTTAGTGATTAAAGTAACTGACACAAATCTTACAAAATTATCTCCCCTTATTTAGTGACTAAAGAAAGCAACACACATCTAACAAAACTTCTCCCCGTTTTATTGGTACAAGTAATTAACACAAATCTATCAAACCATTTTCCCTGATTTAGTAACATACGTGATCAAACTTGATATAAAGGACAGTACTCATTAAAGTCTAAAGTCACCATTGTACTTCAGGCAACATATAATAAACTTCCAACAGAAAGTCTCTTCTACTATTTTGAACCACCATACAGATAACTTATTTCTGAAAACAGTGTTACTACAGGCATTTCCCCTAAGATCAAACGTTCTACCTCTGCTGTAGTGTACCGCGACTGTCAGGCCTCTATTTTGGACATCGATCCACTAACAAGATATGCATCCATTGGAGTGTTGGATTACATTGTTGATAGTACGCTGATCGGTTTGCTCCTTTGGTGTATGAATATTTGTCACGCGACTGCTGTTCGCGTCACTTATGCAGAACTTCTCTGGGGCAAAAGGTAAGAAGACCTCTAATCACCACATTGTTTTTTTTTAATTGTAATAACATACATGTTGTATGGTGTTAAATAGAGAGAATGGCGTATTTTGCCCCCCTCTTACAATAGTCATGTTGCCAATCATATATATGGCTAAATGCCTACATGTAGTTTTCGCCAGTGTGATGTGACATATATTGTATACATATGACATGTAGGTTATACATGTGACATGTAGGTTATACATGTGACATGTAGGTTATACATGTTTTGATGTTATGTTTTGTTTTAACAAAATAAACGGCCAATTTCAATCAAACTGCTGATTTACTGGTTTTCATTTATTTGACTATTGTACTATTGAACATAAAGCGATGTTGTTTGGCTGGATAGAAAAACACATCAAGTTTACATTACAAAGCTTGCAGTAACGAGAAACTGCGTCTGCATAAACATGTCTGAAACGTTACACTACCATATATATTTCATAGCCTCCCACAAAACAAGCTACATCACTACCAGGTACGGCTACCCCTCTCACGGACGTCTGCTGACAGCAATGATTTAGGCCGAAATCAGTTAAAAACTTAAAACAGAAATGTTAATATAATATGCAATTCAATAACTTTCACGTTACCAAATAAACCGTTAATTCAGGATGCTACAGGAAATATACACAACAAACATATTTTCAATTAGTACCCATTTTATTTAACAAGGGAGAACAGACAACAAAGCTATTACTGAAAGAGAACTCAGAACGGACATCAAGTATTTCGTCATACAGCTGATTTGATAATTATTTACATATTTTTTAATTTCACCATTAACTTATGATACAATATTTTACTAACTAACTGTTTTCTTTGTTATTGATACAAGTTAAAAAGGATGAAGTTATCCATTCGTATAAAATAATATAATATAGAAGTAGGAAGATTAAGGCTCTCCATGGATCAAACTGTGGTTCCCTTCCTTACTTAACCAAGGGAGTACCCACTCAGTACTGTAATTCCCTTCCTTATTTAACCAAGGGAGTACCCACGCAGTACTGTGGTTCCCTTCCTTATTTAACCAAGGGAGTACCCACTCAGTACTGTGGTTCCCTTCCTTATTTAACCAAGGGAGTACCCACTCAGTACTGTGGTTCCCTTCCTTATTTAACCAAGGGAGTACCCACTCAGTACTGTGGTTCCCTTCCTTATTTAACCAAGGGAGTACCCACTCAGTACTGTGGTTCCCTTCCTTATTTAACCAAGGGAGTACCCACTCAGTACTGTGGTTCCCTTCCTTATTTAACCAAGGGAGTACCCACTCAGTACTGTGGTTCCCTTCCTTATTTAACCAAGGGAGTACCCACTCAGTACTGTGGTTCCCTTCCTTATTTAACCAAGGGAGTACACACGCAGTACTGTGGTTCCCTTCCTTATTTAACCAAGGGAGTACCCACGCAGTACTGTGGTTCCCTTCCTTACTTAACCAAGGGAGTACCCACTCAGTACTGGGGTTCCCTTCCTTATTTAACCAAGGGAGTACCCACTCAGTACTGTGGTTCCCTTTCTTATTTAACCAAGGGAGTACCCACTCAGTAGAACATTAAACAATATTTACTTCATATTAGTATGCCATTCCGAAGTCCTCATAGCATTTTATTTTTTTATTCAAATGATGAAGTTTGCTCCCTTCAAGTTACAAATGTACATGGCTCGGTCAGCAGAAACTGCCAGATCATACCTTGGCCCATCGTTTTATTATGTAAATCAACTGTATAATGTACGAGTTTTAATATACGTGCGAGTCTTTTGTTCGAAACGTTGTATTTGTCCAATGATTTCTACATATGGGTATCTGCTGTGACAATTGAGACGCAAGTTTGCCGTTGTGTGACATTTGAGCCATGTGTGTGATTTTGTTGTTCGTTGATGTTTTGCTTCCGTCGTAAGATCATTCGAAGAGGAAAGCATAATCCGCCACCCAGCGCTACCGTGACCCCAGCCAGGTAGAACACTGCTGAAGTTTCCTGTCACGTCGGACAAAAAACCTAAAATAACAACTAGCCATTATTCATCAATATGTCATCACAACTCATTATAATCTTATTGTTCTCTGAATTTTTCAGACATCGAAGTATTTTCATTAGATCTGTTATTTTATATAATAAGCTAAACATTTATGTTTTACTTAGCGAGCTCAACATGTGTTGGCATTGTTGTCATCTCTACATCTGCACCTGCGGTGTTTGCCTGTCATAATCCGGTCGATATTCACGATTTCCTTAAGTATCACAACTTTCGTGATGAATACGCTAATTATTACACCGATTCATATATTGCTGCGAGCGTTGTTCTGTAGTCATCAGAGTGATCTTATTGAGAAATAATACCATTCCCTGTTCGATATGAATATTGATATTTTGATCATGCTCAATTTGTGTGCCTATCCAATGCTCAATGTGTGTGCCTATCCAATGCTCAATGTGTGTGCCTATCCAATGCTCAATGTGTGTGCCTATCCAATGCTCAATGTGTGTGCCTATCCAATGCTCAATTTAGTTAAGGATTTGACATTCTTACGAATTACCATAGATCTACCAGTCTGTATATGACCTTTTGACCTTTTGACATTAAACTTGTACAAACAAACAAACATGGCGAATGTCATTGATAGAACAGAAGTCGGTTTACCGTCCAGAATATATGGTTCTATTTTGCCCTAGATTTATTGATCATAGGTTTGAACGAAACGAAATTTACCAGTAACTAGTAAAGATATAAACATATTTCACGAAATATAAGTGATCCGAGGTATCATATACACGAAGATAGTAAATATACCAACCTTATAAAGAATTAACTATCACTCCTTACCTGTTATAGGTGATCCAAAGACAGCGGAAACTCCACCGACCAATCCCAAAAGGCCGAATAAAGTCGACATATTTTGAATTCCTTTAAGCTTTATCAAAATTATTGGACCTAATGAAACAAATGTCCCTAGAAAAAATTACAAAACCGTCATTGAATATGAACGTGCTAGATAATCTAAAATACAAATTTGAAGTTTATAAATGACGTCTTTATGATCTAAAGCTCTGTACGTATTCTTCCTTTTGCATTACGCAATTGTTAACTTATTTATTCTGTATGAGTCATACTATACGTTAAGTAAGATAGTTACCTATAGCTGATCCAAAGACTGCTGCACAAGCAGCAAGGGCCCCAAATGAAGTGTAATACGGTACAAAGAATGTGGCCACGCCTCCTAAAACCAGCATCGCACCGTTGATAAGGATACAGTCTGCCCAGGGTCGATCTGTCACGAAGCCAATCACAACTCTCACAAGTGTGTTGAAAATCCCAATGGTCGATATGAGAAGTGCCCCTTCAGAAGCTGGTAAGCCTAACTCCTTAGCAAACGATGGCAGGAAATTAAACGGAATGTAGATTCCTGTAATCAAGGAATTAAAATGTGATTGCTGATTTACTGACGGTATAGTATTTATGTATACATGTAATTTAGTTTGTTTTACTACAATTTGCTGCATAAGTAAATCAAATCAGATTAACAAGTGTGCTTAAATAAACGCAGTCGGCATAGAAAAAATGCTTTTAATCATTTGAGATTTATTTGTCTGTTAAAAAAAATAATATATATATTACTATGTACTACTCGTTAAGAGACAAATATTAAGTGAACTTTGACAAAACAATCACTAAATATAAATGACATACAAAAGCTGTATCGTACCAATTGTCACTAGAAAACAGGAAACCAGGTAAACAACCACGGAGGGACTCGATAACATCGAAATTCCTAAAGTCTGCCTTACCCGAGTACAAATACATTTAGCATTTGAATTTTCATTCTCTTCGGAAAATGTGGTTTGTCCTTTAGGTCTTCTCTGTTGCACTTCAATTGGTCTGTAAACAGCACCAAACACAACACCATTCAGCACTATAGCGGAGATGATCCACATGGCGCCTTTCCAGCCGTAGGCATCCAGCAATAGGACACTAAGTGGTGCGAAAACAAAGCCACCGATACCCGACCCACACACAGCTATCCCTGTGGCAAGGGCTCGGCGCCTGTTGAAGTAGTAACTCACAATAAGTATCGCCGGTTGATATATGAGCCCGAACCCAGTACCTGAAATTAAGTATGTCAGTAAGCAGTCTTAATCTAACTTAAGATGTATTTTACAGCAACAAATCTTAGGTTCGAAAATCACTTGCAGCAGGAAGCTAAACATTATACATTGTGACATGTATTGCTCAAATCTAATCAGTTGTTCAAATGGGTAGTCTATTACGTTCATTGCAAAACAATGTCACTGCGGATAGACTACTTAATTTTGTTGAAATGTAAAACGATGTTACAATGTCGATATGATACATTGATTATAATTACCCCCGACAATGCCGTACAGTAGAATCATGACATCCAGATTTGGAGAGAAAGTGGAGAGGAACAGACCCAGACTGGCTACAACGGCTCTCAGGATAGCCACCCTCCGACACTGGAATCGTCGTTCTAACACTCCAACCAATGGACCTGTAGTAGGTATACTCTTAGAACACAATTGAATTTAAACATGGATAACTTTCATACCTTCACCACCTAAAGATAAATTCGAATCTGATGAAGTTACAAACAGACAGAGCAATAATACATTTTCCTGCTTTTTAGAGTGTTGTTTACTTGTCTGACAATACCAAGCTAGTGGCACGACCATCAGTACCTGAAGTAGTATATGATAAATCAAGAATTTCGGGGTGAAAGAGAGCAATTTATATTATGGTTGATGTTGTTTCAAGAAATTTACCTGTCAGAGAGTTAAATGTATTTTGTTTACCTTCACTTAGATTGGCTGTAGTCTTCTTGTTTTGACTTAATTTCCGATGGTAGTATATAATAGCAGCGTATTGAAATATCTCGACGTTTTGCTTAATAATAAAATGAAATGTCATTTTAATAGTATACAAGTTACCTTTAGTACGCCTAACTTGCATATATTCAATAGGAAAGAAGCACAATAATACGTCATACCAATCAATGTTAATATTCAACCGATGATAGAACCTAGCATTTGTGTTTTGCCTTTACTGCCACCGAAATGTTCCAGGAAGCCATCAGAGAAGATTCCAAATGTAAAAATAACTCCACCCAAAATGAAGTTGTGCATGAAGGATGCAAAAGTCACCATCCATCCCCAACCGCCATCTGGAGCTGTACATTCAGTCATTGAATCCATCTAGAATAATTAGGGTTTGCATGACAAATCTACTATATATAAAAATAATAAGACGATACTGAAGGGTCAACAAAACTGTTATTCATGCTCATAGTCGATAACAAAACTTAGTCAAACTAATGATACATGAAGTTTTACATGGAGACCTTTTAAAAAATCAAGGAGAGCAAGACCACCTTTCTAAAAGGATAAACGTCTTCGGCTTCATCGACAAGATCACCGCCATGGAAATCGAGGAAAAATCCAAGTGATGTTTCGTCCTCAAAGACAACAAAGTACTCTAATATGCGAAATGGAAAAAAAAACACCCGCCTTCATATCGCACAAGGAGATGAAATACTGGCATGAGATTTAACTTGCCTGTACTCTTAATAATCCTGGAACTTTCGAAATATTGTGCTACAATTTCGTCGATCAGCAGTCGACATATTTTACGGAAATTACGAATTTTGGCGCAAGCCTTAAAATACCGATCTAACATCAATAAGTAAACACTGTTTGATGAAGATGTTACAATCAAGAATAGGAAAGTTCATTGTCGAAAGCACGATATCTTCAGGTTCATCGTACAGCTAAGTAGTGGGTCGTTCCTGTTTGTCTGGTTTAAAAGGGTGAAAGATGGCGATGTAGAAGAATCGGCAGTGTCCTTGATTCAATAACCTTCGTGTTATTTAAGGACAGTTCATCATCGATATATTTTGCAACCAATCCTAATAAGCTCTTCAATAAGTTCAGTATCATATTATAAAACCAAATGAGTAAGAAGAGAGCTCTATTTATTTCCATATTAATGGAAAATAATACAATATATTGTAATTCATGAACTCGTCGATTCCCAAGGTTTTATCCTTATCTCATCATGATCTTTGCCATGCTTTTTACCAAATACTTACCAAAATAATTTTCATTAATTTCATCTTTGTAATTTCATAATCAGGAATTGTTTTAATAACATCATACAAATGTAAAATTGACATCAGTTAATATGATATGCTATTTACGATGTTAAGTAAATTTCGCATTTCGATGACTTTCACATTGAGATATATAAACATGTACATGTCTTGAAACAAAACGTTTGTCGTAATTTCTTGTAAGCATATTTCAATCAAACTCAGTTTATCTCCCTACCAGTCGTTTCTGTTTCACTCAGACCTACCTTTACACAGAATGAAAATCCACTGAAAATTGTCGACACCTGCAAACATCACTGTTTCTGCATCACTAATTTCACAGGACCAGTGTACTCATATATACATATAGATATATAGAGCATTGGCGTGCTTTCCCAGTGTCTTCTTTCTTGTTTATGACATTTTTATACCTTTTTCTTTTGTTAAAATTTTACAAAGCTGCGCTACCAGATCAACGTATCTCATATTCCTCAAACATCGTCAGCTTAAAAGCATTTTTGAATATCAATTTTTCGACCGTCTACGTATTTCATCTTCTTTGTTTTCTTAGGCATCAATATGAATCCCAAAACATACTTATGTTATTTTAAATTCTTATCATCAAATACATTACCGTATGTATGTTTATGAATTTTTACCAGTATTTTAAGTCAAGATGATAGTATTGTGTGCACCTTAGCAACTTGTTAGTATCGATTTCATGTAACAAAAGAATTTTTCGGATGACGTAATGTGAAGGTCTTCTGTATGTTTTGCAATGCATGATTGTCTGATTTCTCATATACTGTTAATGTACGTTAAATCTTGCATTGGTGCATAACGATTAAAAACACAGTATGAACTTTTTTGCAATTCTAGAAACAATTAAATTAGCTTATTTACCATGGTTGTCACGAATATAATGACATCAAACTAGGGTGTGACAAATGGCCTTAGGTTTATTTCAGTCATGTTTTCATATCTGTTGTTTGGTTTGGTTTGATTTGATTTTTTAACGTCCTTTTAACATCTAAGGTCATTTATAAGCGCGCATGTGTGTATGTGTGCTGGAGGCAGGGTATGTCGGTGTACTTGCTGCCTCCTTGTGTTAGCACGGATCTGATGTCGACTTTATAGTGCTATTTTATTGAAGTACCATGCTGAAAGCACCCGGCACAGCATTCCACTCGGTCACACCATACTGACAACGGGAATAACCCCCAACTACCATTTTTAAGGACTTTGGTATGTCCCGGCCTGGGCACAGAACCTATTGCCTTCCTCACCTGGGGGAACGGTCAATATTAAAGTCAACAGTGAGGAGTTGCAAGGCGCTAGGAATTAAAAGGTAACTAGAAGTAGAAAGAAATAAAAAGATCCCAAATATTGCAATGGTTGTAGAAGATTTATTTTTGTCGCTTTTGTGTCCCCAGGTAGAGGGCACAAACGCAAACCCCCAATTCTGCGGGAGATTCCCACATTAGTCACCTCTTACAATACATGCAGTGGGTAACAACGGGTGTATTATTTTCTAGATCCCCGGCCTGCAGTGGTTCATATCTGTTGTAGTGATTCATACACTTAACTTATCTCGTTAAATCGAAACCATCACGCTTGCTATACAACTAAGTTGTAAGCCGTCAGGCCCCTGTTAGTCATGTAGTAAGGAAATATCGAGCTTTATTAAATGATAATTGATAGTAAAATTAATAAGAATAGGTTTAATAAACTATAAACTGTTTTTAATAACACAGGTTGAAAGGAAGGGTTAGTTTTGGAAAAAATAAATAATGTGGCCAAATAGTAGTTTTTCATATTATACTAACAACTACTCACGACCTTTGCTTCAAAAACTTGTATTGTACTATTGATATATCAAAAAACTTGTATTGTACTATTGATATATCAATAGTACAATACAAGTTTTTTGATATATCAATATTACAATACAAGTTTTTTGATATATCAATATTACAATACAAGTTTTTTGATATATCAATATTACAATACAAGTTTTTTGATATATCAATAGTAAAATAGTACAATACAAGTTTTTTGATATATTAATAGTACAATACAAGTTTTTTGATATATCAATATTACAATACAAGTTTTTTGATATATCAATAGTAAAATAGTACAATACAAGTTTTTTGATATATTAATAGTACAATACAAGTTTTTTGATATATCAATAGAACAATACAAGTTTTTTGATATATCAATAGAACAATACAAGTTTTTTGATATATCAATAGAACAATACAAGATTTTTGATATATCAATAGTACAATACAAGTTTTTTTATATATCAATAGTACAATACAAGTTTTTTGATATATCAATAGAACAATACAAGTTTTTTGATATATCAATAGAACAATACAAGTTTTTTGATATATCAATAGAACAATACAAGATTTTTGATATATCAATAGTACAATACAAGTTTTTTGATATATCAATAGTTCAATAGTACAATACAAGTTTTTTGATATATCAATATTACAATACAAGTTTTTTGATATATCAATAGTAAAATAGTACAATACAAGTTTTTTGATATATTAATAGTACAATACAAGTTTTTTGATATATCAATATTACAATACAAGTTTTTTGATATATCAATATTACAATACAAGTTTTTTGATATATCAATATTACAATACAAGTTTTTTGATATATCAATATTACAATACAAGTTTTTTGATATATCAATAGTTCAATAGTACAATACAAGTTTTTTGATATATCAAAAAACTTGTATTGTACTATTAATATATCAAAAAACTTGTATTGTACTATTGATATATCAAAAAACTTTACACGTGGAAGTGTCTCCTTTTCATGGTGACTGTCATTTATAATTGCTTATGTATATATTGCAGATTATTGGCAAGACCCAGTCTCTCAGTAAACTTTATATTATTGACAATATATTGCAGATAATAAAATAATAAAAATAATACAAGAACGATAACAATTACAGAGTCCTTACATAAATTCGTCTCCTTACATTCAATAAACGGCGATACGGTGTGTGCTTTTATTGTACTTACGAAATGTCTGTGTTATCCTCTTTTCTTTTGTTTCATTTGATTTTGACGAGGACATGTAAGCTTAATAAGGATATATTTTAAACCTACAAATAGTTTGGGGGGGGGGAGGTTCAAAATAAAAAATAAAAAGAGTGCGGCAGGGTTCTTTCCATCGACGACGTAAACATTGACAGGAATTAACCCACTACACCATGACACATCATGGTTGTTTAATGAACAAAGGCTTGCCGTGTGATATTGACACGTGCTCATGACTACAAATGTACATTTCGGTTTAACCAACTACACCACCGCATTAAATATTATATAAGCGTAGATTTTATTTGTCTTATTCAAACTTTCTAAGTTGCCTTTATGTTGCAAACAACATGTTTTAATTGTATCTTCAATTAACATCACGTAATAATTTAAGAGACGGAAATTTTGTTGTTTGAATATATCAATGTGCAATTCAAACAAAACGAAAAGGTAGGGAAGCGCGTCTTTTCTGCTAGCAAGGGTTTGATACGTTAACACTGTTCGCGATAAATTTCAAATTCCCAATGGGTCTGTAGTGTTTCACCGTTAAATTTCTATCGTTTTAAACTTCCCATCTCTTTATAAGTATACAACATCCCAAACTGAGTACCTTCGATTGTTTTTTCTCTGAGAAATTAAAGCGTATTCAAGGCTGATTAAATAATTTCACATCTTATTATCTGTAACAGTTCTACTTCGGTGTCGAAATGAAGTAACTTTATACAGCTCATATGTATTGAGTCATGATATGCCCATAAAGAGTTATATAGTGAAACATATCTTACTGTGTGTCGTTCAGTGTCACTGCCCATTTTTCAACTGCATATATGTGAAAACCTGACATGAAGTATATGACACAGTATGGTTGTTTAACTTTTATTTAGGACGGGGAATTGTAAGCAGGATAAGTATACATTTTAAACCTAAAAAAGAGGGGTTCGATCCATCGACGACGAAAATATTGACACGTGTTAATGTACATTCCGGGTTTTTGAGGTGTTTTTTTTATATAATTTGTCTTTTATCAGTCACAGCAAAAAGGACCTCCAGGGTTGCTGTTTCTCTGAGAAATTAAAGTGTATACAAGGCTGATTGGATAATTTCGCATCTTACTGTTTGTGTCGGTGTCGAAATGAATGAACTTCATACAGCTTATGGGTATTGAGTCATGATATGCCCCTAAGTGAGTTATATAGTGAAGCATATTTTAATGTGTGTTGTTCAATGATGTTGTCTATTTTTTATCTGCATATATGTGAAACCTTACATGAAGTAAGGTGATGAATAGATATAAAAGGACATCCATTTCTGTTGATAAATATATATATATATATATATATATATGAAAGGGAATCTTTGTTTGTCTGACGTTTTATCTATGTACAAATCATTACAAACGTTTATGTTATCCTGGCTCACCTAACTTGGCGAACGATATATTTGCAAAATCTTTACTTGGAGGAAATACAAATTTTATTTGAAAATATAATTTCAACAACACAAAGTGACCTACATTAGTAACGGTATGCGATTTTAGGTAAACCATGCGACTTAAAGATACACAGAAAAAATTGAACCATTATCAACATTGAAAACGGAGATTTGTTTTAACATGGACAGCCTTTTCTTTACTTTAGATATTCAAGAGGACATGTCATTGGTGCAGAATCCGCAAGCTAAACATCCTCCTAGAGTCCCAGAGATCTTCCTAGAGTTCCAGAAATCTTCCTAGAGTTCCAGAGATCTTCCTAGAGTCCCAGAGATCTTCCTAGAGTCCTAGAGATCTTCCTAGAGTTCCAGAGATCTTCCTAGAGTTCCAGAGATCTTCCTAGAGTCCCAGAGATCTTCCTAGAGTCCCAGAGATCTTCCTAGAGTTCCAGA